CCCCAAAACCCCAAAACCCCAAAACCCCATACTGCTAGAGTATGAAGCTATTTAGATATGATAATTCCAAATAATTTTTGATTATTAGCAATAAAGAAGAACTTAATAATATGATAAACAATTCAGAAACCCTTTAGGTATGCTCTATACGCTCTCATTCTCCACTGGTTGCTTATTCTGTTATCTTCTAAATTCTTTTTAAACTTAGTCATTGGGCTCTATTTTAATATTCATCAACAAAGAAAGATACTTACATATATTCTCGCATTGGCGCCTGAAAGTGGTCTTTACTGGCTTCTAGATATGTTGTTAGGGTTATTTCTCTAGCTTTTGCTAGGATCTCTTACTCGCTCTTAATCAAGACCCTTCCTTAAAATGTATGTCCTATAAATTGGGCTATTCGGATCTTGATAATTGAGGGAGTCTACATATTAATTGAAAGTGTCATACTTAGAATAATCTAAGGGAACATCAGATGGTTTCTGTTTGAATCTAGTGTACTTGAATTAACTGGCTTGAGAAACATCATAACTAGTCACTAAAAATCCTTATTTTGATTAATTAGGTTCATTTTTATAAAATGTTTTGTATGTTGTACCCCAAAATGGAGTCGAGGTCTTTGACATCTAGTTAAATCCATTTGACTTGCTGAAACCATCGATTTCATGTGAATTGGAATCTTAATATCTACTAGGCTCTGTAATCAAATGCTTAAATTAGTCGTTAGACACTCTGTCCCTTTAGAATCTACCAATATTAGAGTTTCTAGCTGTTTTGGAATCATTTATTATCATGTTGGGACTCATTACCTTACTAGCATTTGTAGTCTGTATTCTAGAGTTGACAGTTTGCTTGTTGCTGTTTTTAGAATTCTCAGTCATCCTCATCATCTATAAATTCTATTGCATTCTATGCTAATAAGAGTTCAAATGAGATTGTGTTTAGCTTTGATTTTAAAGTGAATGAGATCTTGTCTGTATCATTATGATTGATAGATCAATTATATTTCAATTTATTTTATTTTAACTCTATCTTTAGGGCTAAAATCCTAAGCGTGGGGTTTTGGGGTTTTGGGGTTTTGGGGTTTTGGGG